CTCCCAACCAACACCTCTTGGTTCCACGCATCCATAGCCTTGCCTTTCCCCATATCTTCATCCTCTCTCCTCGCTCTGGAAAGGCTCCAAATGAGGCCTTCCCCTACTTCCTTCCACGATTTTCACCTCCTCTTCCTCCCGATGGATTTCAGTGTTGATGTTCTTCGCTGCTGGCCCTTTTGCATCAGACGTCGCCGATTGGGTTTGAAACTCCATCATCTTTTTCATCATATCCTGTCGATCGGCAAAAGGAAACTTACAACTGAATTTAGAATCTAACGGTTAAACTAGAGATGATAATTAAAATGAATGGAGATGCATTCTCTTAGTTGATCCTTCTCTTGATAGCAATGCTCCTCCTTGCTTACTCCTTGGTGGAACCCTTTTTCCTTGCTTTTAGTTCTGATTAGAGAGAGAAGAAGATGATAGAGAGAGAGTCAAACTTGGGAAAGTGAGGGAGTCTGACCACATTATAGAAACAGGGAGCTCTTGGGAGGAAATAAGAGGCTTTATTGCTCTACTTAAAATGAATACGAGGGAGAATGATAGGAAGTACTTATAAACCGCGAGTATTTCCCATCAATCTTCTAAAAAAACAACGATAATTCTCCACAAAAATCCATACAAAATCACAAAACAGTAGATAATTTGTATTACTTGATGAAAGCGAAACAGAAAATAGCAAGATACACTTGATCCTCTATTCGAGAGGAGGATCGATCTCTCCCAAATCTTTAGACGCAGCTAGAGCCCAAAGGAAACCTAAAATCTAAGAGATCTCAAATTTCAGCCAAATACAAGATGCCCTAACCCTAGGAAAACAAAGTATTTAATGCATACAAATCAAAAGGAAATCCCTAAACAGTCCCTACTTTCAAATTTCCCTCTTAATTCCCCCAAAAATCCTTCTTATTGGGCTCCCTGGGCGGTTTCGGATCGCGCGGCTCTTCCTGGAGGCGGAAGAGTTCTGCCTCAAGTCACGTAAGCTGGTCCCGTCGGACCGGCTAGACCGGTCCATTGGACCGGGTCTGACAATACTCCCCTCCCAAAGATCCATCTTGTCTGCAAGGTGGAAAGACGACATCCTCCATTCCTTCTTCATCACAAACGGTAAGCACCTGAAGAGTTCGATCATTGCACCTGTGCCCCAGCGTATACCTCTCGTCACATCTGAAAGAAAGCCCCTTCTCCCTCTTCTCCTGTAATTCTGTTTCTGTGAGCTTCTTGAATTTGTCCCCAGGTTTTTCTCCTGCAGTCTTTTCCTTCGAAGTCCCTCGAAGAGTATCCGGTGATGGCTCCTTGGATTTCAATAAGGTGGTGATCATCCTGTACGAGCCTCCTGAGCTGTCGTCTCCCATTTCTCCCTCCAGGTGCCTCTGATCTTCTACCAATTGAACTAGCTCCATAGCCTCTCCCAAGTCACGATGCCTCATTACTCTAACTGCTGCTCGGATCTCTGGTGTCAATTCCTTCATGAAGTTTCCTTCTAGCACTGTCTCAGAAAGGCGGTTTAATCGACTAGCAAGGTTCTCGAATATCTCTCGGTACTCCGTCACTAAACCCTCTGTGTCAAGGCGAAGAACTGTTCGTAGAAGTCTCCTCCCTTGCTCGTTCGGAAACGTTATATCAAAAAATCCTTGAACTCTCTCCAACTCTGTATGGGTCGTCGCATGTCCCTCCACTGATACCAAGACAAAGTCTTCCCTTCTAAACACAGCCCCCCCCCCCCCCCCCCCCCCCCCCCCCACATCAATCTCTCCTCCTCTGTCAGCCCATTGACGACGAAATATCTTTCTACCTTGTAAATCCACCCATGTGCATCATCCCCCTCAAAGATTGGCATATTTAGTTTCCTCACCCTCGGGTCACACCCGTTTCCCCTAAATCCTCCATAACCTCCCATTCCTCGAAGCGGAGGTGCCGCTCCCCAATTATCACGATCTTCCCTCCGTCGATCATACCCAAACCATTCATTAAAATCCCTTCTTCTTCTTTCAAAATCAGCACCCCGGTGATCGAAATCCTCCCCTCGCCTTACAAATTCAGCACCCCTTCTTGCGTAGCCGATGCTCATATCCTCCCTAGAAAGTGGTTCTAGAGGAGGCATTCCGTCTTCTCCCTCTAGGATCTCTACTTCTGGCTTTTCCCTTCCCTTAGACGTGTTAGGGTTCCGATCTCTTCCATGGCCGCCGGTAGTTTCCTTTGCTTCTGATGTCATTGGTTTGGTTTTGACTTCAAGTAATTTCTTCAACATGTCTTCCACCTCGGCGAACTTTTCCTCCATCTTTTCATTGACGGATGCAATCTGACTTTGAAAATAAGTTATATTTTCTTCAAAATCTGCTTTGAGTTGCCCAAGTTCTTTCTCCAAAACTTTCACTTTCCTTTCGGCCATTGGTTTCCCTTCGATCGACGTGCTATGATACCAATTTGATAGGAATTACTTGTAGACCACGAGTATTTCCTATCAATCTTCTAAAAAAACAACGAGAATTCTTCACAAAAATCCGCACAAAATCACAAAAACAATAGATAATTTGTATTACTTGATGAAAACGAAACGGAAAATAGCAAGATACACTTGATCCTCTATTCTAGAGGAGGATCGATCGCTCCCAAATCTCTAGACGCAGCTAGAGCCCAAAGGAAGCCTAAAATCTAAGAGATCTCAAATTTTAGCCAAATTCAAGATGCCATAACCCTAGGAAAACAAAGTAATTAATGCATACAAATCAAAAGGAAATTCCTAAACAGTCCCTACATTCAAATTTTCCTCTGAATTCCCCAAAAAATCCTTCCTATTGGGCTCTCTGGGCGGTTTTAGATCGCGCGGCTCTTCCTGGAGGCAGAAGAGTTCCGCCTCAAGTCACGTAAGCCGGTTCCGTCGGACTGGCTAGACCGTTCCATTGGATTGGGTCTAACAGAGAACTTACCTGAAAGATCACATCACGGAATTCAAAATCCAGTTAATGCATGCTTAAAATATCAAAAATCTAGATAAAGACTAAAAGTAAGTTAGTTCGTCTGTTCCCTTATATCCACTCTCCTAACGAAGAGAGAGAGAAAAAAGGTTGTGGCATATGTGGATAACATTATATGCTTGCCTCTTTTTTATGTAGCCTTTTATGTTCCCTTTGATGTAGCCTTCTGTGCTCACATTTAGTCCATGCAAGATATCCTAGCCTTGGAGCCTCATGGATTAGTCGTGGCTTTAAATTTCAGTCAATTTCAGTCAAAGACTGTTCATAAGTGTGATTTTATTTGTTTCAATCTGGTTGTCCTTCAACAAAGATGCTGCCATGTTGGCATCATAGTGCATGAAGGCGCAAACCTTGAATTTGTTCTTTTGTTTGTCAGCTTGCTTTGTTATATACTTTTTGGATGTTCTAGATTTAACAAAAAAATGTACTCTTAAAGAGTAATGATTTCCTTAACAAAATGCAGAAAGTAATGCTTATGTTGTAAACCTTTCAATCTTTTTTTCTCGAGTTTTTTAACAGTCCAGTTGATTTTACAACCTAGTTTATTTTCATCAGTCATAATTTGTTTGTCACTGTATTGGGCATGCAGAAAGTTTATTTGCGACTGCTTCTTTTATTAATTTTTGCCATATAGACATATACATATAAAGGGAGCATAGGGTAGTGGAGTACTATGTTGGTGAGATGATAGAAAATACATAAGAATGATAAGGGCATAGCAGAACTATGGAGGCTGATAGAACTATGGGTCTTCTGTATATTATGATGTGATTATGAAGCATAGGGGTAATGCTAATGATGGTATTAATGTTCAAATTCTTAGCTGAACCACAGCACATTTACTATTTCCATTTCTTGGTGATAGTTACTTTTCCTGATTTTGCACTCCACTACTTCATTTGTTGCATTAACCGTTTCAGTTGAAGTTAACTTTGAAGCCATAAATTCAAGTACTTGTGATGTCGAATCCATATTGTTTGTTATCTTTTTCGCTAGTAGTCCTAGTACGTTTTTGTGCCTGAATGTGCATAATTTTTAGCAGTCTTTACATGAATTATCTTTTGGTTACTTTCCTATCAGTCTCTCTCTCCTCTAAGCACTGATTTGTACCTAAATGCCAGCTTAAAAATTGAAGTAAGGTTTCTGATGAGTAGCTTATGTTAGATCCTTATGTTTCATGCTGAATCTTGAACATTTATGAATCTTTTTTAGTTTGCCTAGTGCCTGTTTGTTTTTTTTTTTAAATAAAAAATACTTGGATTTTGTTTTTTACCTTTTTTTTTTTTAAATTTTAAAACAAATCCAAGTTGTTTTAATAATGCTTAAAACAAGTCTTAGGTTTTTTCCATGCGTTTTCATTATTTTTAAAATGAGAATCACTCCAGCCACAACCAACTGCCTAGGCGCTTTTGGACAGTGCCTTTGTTGTTGTCATCAGCTGCCATCATTGCCAACCCTCACTGTTGGCCACCATCATTGCCACCACCAATCACCGCCGCTTCTACCATCATCTGTAACCACTACCATTACCGATTTATGTGATTTAAAAAAAAAATAAAAAGATTTTAATATTTAAGATATCAAATATATTTTATTTCATATCAATTATGAAAATATAAATAGAATAAAACAAAATAAAAAATAAAAAGTGATCCCAAACAACCCTTAAATGTGGTTTGATCTCAGATTTGCCTTCCTTGCAACTGGTAATGTTTTAGATGTGTCTGAATTTACACAAAAAAATGTTAGATTTCTCAAACGCTTTACTACTTTCAAATGAATAATTTAATCGAAATTCATCCCAAAATTCATGAGATGCTTGTAAAGTGGAGGTTTAGAATGAATGGGTTGAAGCTCACTAATGCTTGTATATATTACGGCATTCAACACATTTTTTGTGCTAACTCTTGACTTGCTTATGTTATTAACATTACATTATTTATATCCTTTTGTAATGTATAGAATGTAACTAACAATTTCTGTTCTTACATAGTTGTTTTTGTATCTTGATTACTGTAGGTAGGAGGTACAGCTCATAGGGGTGCTGGTAGAAGAGGTGGTGGGCCAATGAGAGGTAGAGGTGGAAATCGAGGCCGCATAGGTCAGCGCCATTCTGGAAGGGATGGTGGAGGACCTCCCCCGTTGCGTGGCAGTGGGCATGGGCGTATGAGCAGGGGTCGTGGAAGGAGACCCCAACATTTTCCACCTGATTCACAGCAGAGACAAACTGCGTTCGCAACCACTTTAGAACCATCAGTATCTGCAGCAGCACATGCACAAGGACGCCCATTGTTTACACCAAAAGTTCCACAAAAATCACTTATTCCAGCTGCTTGGTGTGATATATGTAGGGTGGACTGCAACAGCTTGGAAATTTTGGAGCAGCACAGGAATGGAAAGCGGCATAAGAGAACGGTGCAGAGAGTTCAAGAGATACAAGCCCAACAGAAGGTAATATCTGCTGAATTGCAATTCAATACTGCTTTTAAACCTGATATGTTCCTGCAAGGTGAAGATGAACATAAACTTAGCAATAATGGCCAGGGTTCAACATACGCAACAAATAGAGTCATTCCATCATCTGATGGTCGAACTGAAGCTGGCAAAGGCCTTGAGAAAGATATTGCTTCATCAGCACAAGAGCCGGTGGTGGAAGGATCAATCAAAGTATTTGTTGCATCAGAAAATAATCTGCAAGAAATGGATATTGAGCAGTGTCAGATGCCCGAGGGACAAGCAGAGCCTGTAACTGATGCGTCACAAGATGAAACCTTGCCCATGGATGGGTTAAGTAAGAAGCGCAGGATGGCTGGTTATGATAGGAATGAAAGGTGGCGTGGTTCCAAGCAGAAGATGATGAGGACAAGCCGTGGTGGGAAACACTTCAAGAGCTTTGATCGAACACATAACCGTGAACGACCCAAAGATCGCCCCAGAGACCGGCCTAGGGTTTGTACTGTATGCAATGTAATGTGTGATACAATGGCAGTGTTTGAGTGCCATCTCTCCGGAAAGAAGCATATTTCTCGTATCAAACGTTTTGACGGCCATGGTTCTGTTTATGGTCCCATCAGCGTCTACATTCCTCCCAATCAACCAACAGCCTATTCAAGTAAAGGACCAGAGCCATTGTTCTATGGGCTCCAGAATCTTGAAACACTGCAACAGGAAGCTGCGCTAAGACATGAAATACCGCAGCAGGGAGCCGATGCCATCGATTCTCAGCAGATGGAAACCCTTGCAGTTGAGCAACACTGTCAAGTTGGGGGTTTTGAAGAAGAAGCTGAAGGTGCAGCTCCTGAGTCTGAGGTTAAGCAAAGCTTAGGACATCCAGATGCAATGGAAGATGAACAAGTGGTTGCAATGCCTGATCTTGATGGACAAAACTCCCTTAAAGAACCAGATGCGGGAGGGACTAATAATTCAGCATCAGATGATAGTGATTTTATGGATAGCACTGTTCTTCCCATTGTGCCAGATGCCACTTTCCCAGAATATGAAGCTTCAAATGAGGCTGAGATTGCTGGGCCTGGTGTTGATGTCAAATCGGAAGAGGCTCTTCCTAATAGTGAATGACTGCCACGAAGAAGGGTTTCATCAGGTAACTGAAGGTAGGTCTTTCTATTAAAGTTTATGTGATTTACATAACCGTGAATGTTTTTTTAGCAGAGACTTTGATAGTGACTTGTTCAGCGTATGCTTCCCTTTAGAATTTACTTTCAACTGCGAGCCTCTTTGGATACCGAGGTTATAATGTTTTCTACTGCATCCTCCTACATGGAGTACTGTTTTAAATATTCACATGATTCTATTTTATAATATTTTCAAGATTTTCCATCGTTTTGCTTTCAAACTGTCTGCTTCCACAGTTAATGTGGTTGATAAATTTGCACCTTGAAGAATGTTAAGTAAAACCAGAGAGCGAATAGACTTCATTTGGCTATTGATCTTTTCGTAACAGATGCTACAGTGCTCATATATATAAGTAAAGTAAAGAGACAAGTAGTTAGGATCAAATGATGTAGGTTGCTGGAGCAGAGAATGAACGGTCATGATCATCATCACGATCGGGAATGTCAGCTAGCTTAGCGTAGTGGTCTGCAACAGAGAGTGGAGCTGGACATGTTAGTTAACACCGCCACTCAAGATAACAATTATTCCTTAATTGTTAGCTTGCTTCGTAGTAGAGTAAATCTAGGGATAGATAAAGTTTTAGTAAAAATGTCTGCCGGATGATCCTGTGAAGTAATATGATGGACAATAATTTTATGATCTTTGATGCAATTTCTGATGAAGTGATAATCAACTTATATATGCTTTGTCCGAGCATGAAACACAGGGTTATTGGCCAAGGCAATGGCCGATGTGCTATCACAATATACTGGAGTGGGCTCAAGTAGGTGGATTTGAAAATCAGCAAGTAGTCGGCGAAGCAGCATGACGTCGGTGGCGACAGCAGCGGTGCGCGATACTCCGCTTCTGTGGAGGAGCGAGCAACGGTGGGTTGCTTCTTAACCGACCATGAGAGAAGATTTGTGCCAAGGAAAATGCATAAGCCAGTGATTGATCAACAATTAGTGGTGTCGGCGGCCCAGTTGGAGTCTGAGTAGGCCTGAAGCTGTAGAGGGGAGGATTGAATGGGTAATACATAATGGAGTGTACCTTGTAGATAGCGTAGTACTCGTTTCAGTAGCTGGTAATGAAGTAGCTAAGGTTTGTGCATATGTTGGCATAGATGATTGACGGCGAAGGCGATGTCCGGTCGGATGTTAGTAATGTACTGGAGAGAGCCAACTAGCTTACGGTAAATGTCTGGCTAAGGAATTAGTTCAGAAGCGGCAGTAGGCATTATGAGCTTTAGATGGCAGTGGGGTTTGTACAGGTTTGCACATGAGCAAACCTGCATTGTTGAGCACTGTCGTGATATAGTGGGCTTGGGACAGAGAGATGCATGTATTGGTTTTGGTAATGTTAAATACCAAGGAACTGGGTGACTTGTCCAAGATTTCAGAGCGTGAAGCTAGTGTGCAGAAATTTCAATAGTTTGTCCATTTCATGCGGAGCATTCCCGGTAAGGAGCACATAATCTACATAAACAAGTACAGAAAAACAGTGCCTTTGTGAAATAATAAAAGTGAGGGATCTGATTGGCTTGTCTGGAAGCCAAACTGGATGAGTTGAGTAGAAAAGGTGGAGTACCACTGACGAGGTGACTGTTTTAAACCATAGATTGTCTTATGCAATCGACAAACATGATGAGGATATTGAGGATCTTGGAAGCCCGGAGGTTGCTTCATGTAGACGACTTCATCAAGAGTACCGTGTAGGTATGCATTTGAAACATCGAGATGATAAGTAGGCCAATTAAATGTCGTGGTTGTAATGAGTAGAAGGCGTATGGTGGGGAATTTTTCAACATGACTGAATGTGTCCGTATAGTCAATTATGTATTCTTGTTTGAAACCTTACTCTACATGGCGTGCTTCGAGCTACCGAGCCATCTGCTTGTAGCTTGGTTTTGTAGAACCACTTATAGTCGAAAGTGTTGTGGGTAGGTTCAGGCGGAACCAAGGACCATGTTCCTTGTTGTAAAGCTTGAAATTCTACAGACATGGCCGAACGTCACTCAAGATACCGGTTGACTTCGGAAAAGGAAGTAGGAGACAGGAAATTTTGTATGGGAAGGGTCAAGAATTGGTTTGGGTTTAAGGTGACCGGTTTGAAGCCGGGTCAGCATAGGATGTCTAGGTGGAGGTGGGGGAGGAGTTGGACGAGAGTTGAGTGGAGATGGAGAGTTGGGAAGTGAAGTGGTTGGTGTAGTTGAAGGGATATGAGTGATATTGAGAGGTTGAGGAGTGGTCGGGGGGCTTGAAGTTACTGGAGAACTGGGGGTTGGCGTAAAGGTTGTTGGTGGAGTTTGCAAGGTAGCAGGAATGAGGGTGAGTGGGGAGGTCAGAGGAATGGGTGATGGACTTGGTGTGAATTTTGTATGGTGAAAGGGGAAGATTGTTTCAATGAATTTGACGTGCCGTGAGAGGTGAATACGGCCTGAAGTTTGGTCCAAACATTTGTAACCTTTTGATTGTGGAGAATATCCCATAAAGACACAAGGAAGAGATCATGGCTCGAGTTTGTGACTGTGAATTGGTGGTATCCAAGGGTAACATAAGAAGCCGAAAGTGCGGAGGTGAGTGTAATCTGGGGGCTGATTATATAGGCGTTGAAAGGGGGAGATATTAAAGGTGGTTTTGGAAGGTAGGTGATTAATGAGGTAAGTGGCTGTAAGGAGTGCATCGACCCAAAAATGAGCAGATAAATGAGCTTGAAATAGGAGAGAGCGTGTAGTTTCTAATAGGCATCGATGTTTTCTTTCGGCAATGCCGGTTTGTTGTGGGGTGTAGGGACACACGAAGCGATGTAAAATGTCAAAGTCTGATAGACATTGAGTAAATTTATTGTTAACAAATTCACCGCCACGATCAGATTGTAATTGTTTAATAGATGTTTGAAATTGAGTTTCTACAAGTCTTTTAAATGTTAGAAATGTTGATAAAACGTTGGATTTGAATTTGAGGAAACACCCACGAGAAACGTGAAAATCATCGACAATAAGAAGATAATATCTATAGCATTGATTTGAAGCTATTGTGCAAGGACCCCATACATCCATATGTAAAATATCAAAACATTTTGTAGACTTAAGAGAGGATAAAGTAAATGGTAATCGGTGACTTTTGGCACGAGCACAAGCGTCACAGTGAGAAGTAGACACGTTGAAGCTGAAATTAAGAACAAAAGACAGGAGTTGTTGAACACCATGAGCGGGATGCCCGAGACGGTTATATGCCACATAGAGGTGGTAGTGCAGACACTGAGAAGAGCTGATTTTGAGGGGACCGAACGGTGGTTAGCGGTGGAGACGGGAAGCTTAATGGGATAGAGACTGCGAGAACTGGGACCCCGAAGTAGAGTTATGTGAGTCTTGGAATCCTTAAGAGTAAAACCATTGTGATCAAATACAAGATAACATGAATTATCTGCAAGTAAACGATGGACAGATTGAAGATTATGAGTGAGGTGAGGAACATGTAGAATTTTAGGTAGGTGAAGCTTACAGGACAGGGTCGGTAGTATTCCTTGTCCGGAGTGGGCAATGGGAAGATGAGTACCGTTGCCAACCTGTACCTGAGAGGAACTAGAGTAGGGTTGAATTGTCTGCATATTAGATGTATCGGACGTGAGGTGTGTTGATGCGCCTGAGTCAAGGAAACATTCATCTGTGAAGGGTTCTTCTTCTTGAGCCATAAGAGCTTATGAGGTTGGTTGGTATGTTAAGTTGGTACGATGCCAACATAAAGCAACTGAATGACCCAGTTTTGTACATATTTGGCAAACTATGGCCGAGGACGAACGACAACCTCCACGCGTGTTGAAATATGGGGCATGTCTGCCTCTCTGAAGAGTATTGCAGCCATGAGAGGAGCCCCGATTGCGACCTCTAAATGATGCGAGTGCAAAGGCTGAGTTATACTGGGCAGGAGTCAATTGCTTCGGAGGTTGCTCGGCAACAAGGTTTACTTATTCGCTGCATAGTAGAGTGTAAAAGTCGTCTAAGCTCACTGGATGAAGTTTGGTGCGGATTGCAGTTTTGAAGGCATTGTAGGCAGAGGGCAATCCATTAAGTGTGTACATGATAATGTCTTTCGATCGAACAAGCCAATTCATTTGGGACCCTGCGTCGAGCGCTCTTGCGCCGAAGATGAACGGGAATCAATATTAGATCCAACGACATTGATGGCATCAACTCGGTGTTTGATCTCTGATAGGCACTGTACCATAGATTTATCTTTCATTTGAAGTTGGTGAAGTTCGTTCTTCAGCCGAAGGATACAAGATCTGTTTGTCGCCTAGAGCTGACGTTCTAGAGTAAACCAAATGTCGGTAGATGATTCAAGGTTGAGCACATAAGGTAATAGAGATGGAGAAATGGTGGAGAAGATGGCTACCATGAGATTTTGATCCACCATTTGCCAAGTAAGATAAGCAGGATTAATCTCCATAGACGAATCAGGACGATGAAGGAGTTTTGGTGGTTTTTCGTAACAGCTTTTACAGTGCTCATATATATATAAGTAAAGTAAAGAGACGAGTAGTTAGGATCAAATGATGCAGGTTGCTGGAGCAGAGAATGAACGGTCATGATCATCATCACGATCGGGAATGTCAGCTGGCTTAGCATAGTGGTCTAACACCTCTCTACCCATGCTTAATCTTGCAAGGCTCTCCAGATTCTCTTTTAATGCTTTTCTGCTTTTCTAAGAGTTCTTTGGAACTTCGTTTTACTTTGTATTCGATGATAACATTGTAAGTTTTCCTGTAGACTGATTATCAAGTTTTTCTACTGCGACTGCAGCCGCTTATTATGGCCATTCTTTCTATCAAAGCTCTAGATATTCTTATCACAGTGAACTTTGAATACTTGACTTTAGATATTATTATCCAAAATAAAATAAAATTTCTGTTTTACTATTGCTTTTGTAATGTCTTCAAGAATTTTTTGTACTAACAAATTTTATTTTTATTACATTATTTTTCTCACAATAATTTTATAATCATATTTATAAAAAGTTATCGTTATCCCAAAAAAAGAATTATAAAGTTTCATTCGAGATAATTTTTTAACTAATTTGATTTTCAGACTATAAATATAATTTTTATTTGATAATTATTTTTTACTGCTTTTAAAAAACGTTTATGCTAAGAAATTGTTTTTCACAAAAAATTATTATAAAAATCACTTTTAAAAAAATCCTAAACAAACCCAAGTGTCCAACCTTGGAACCGATAAAATTATTTTATGCGGATACGAATGTTGTTTGGAGACGAATCAGAATGTGTCATATCATTTTTTTTACTATGTGTCGTGGGTGTGTACTGGGTGATGTAATGCATTCTGATTCTCTTCTGAACGGTTCAGTGTATGAATAGAATAATTTCTTTTTGGAATGGGAGCCAAACACTTAGGGCGTCTCTAGTACTTGGTTTCCTCCATTTGAACGACAAAAAAATTGCTAATTGGTGGAGGGTGAATAGTGAGACGTTAATATTGGCGTTGCACTCAACTGGATTTGCTGAAGAAACGCGTGAAAGAGGAGAGACCGTTATCTTCGCAGAAGTGGGTAAAATGGAGTTCGATTGGAGATGAATTACGACATTTTTTAGTTTCACGACATTTTAGAATGAAAAATGAGATTTTCGGTTGAAGATGCCTTTAGGATAGGAGTGCCATAGTGACAAAAAAAGGATAAGGTGTCTGATTTTTTAGAAGATGTTGAACGAATAAAATCACTTTTTTTCTAATTTTTTAGAACTGTCGTGTATATCTCTTCAACTTTGGAACTGAATGAACTGATGGTTTCAAAAATCAGCGGGCGGTCAGCACCGGCCAGGGCGGTCCACACGGTTGTGCTGATCTGATCCGTGAAGCAATTTCCAAACAATTACCTGTGGGTCGGTGTGCGCGTCGGCAGGCCTAGTTTGACCTGCTAAGTCTTATCGTGTTACGACACGGTGCTTACACAATCAAAGACATGAAGGTTTGGTCAATGAACCTCGAATTGTTTGTTCCAACAACAGGTCAAACAAACTGCAACGGTCATGGCACAATCGTAATTAGCTGAACTTTATTGCGTCATGCTCGCCCAAAAAACATTGGCCCCGATTGTTTTGACCTAATTCAGAGTTAAAATGTGATTTGACACATAATTTTTATATTTTTTATATCTAATTTTTTTAATATTTATTTAGATAGGACTTTAATTTTTAAAGTATATAGAAAATCTTTAATATTAATTTGTTTAAATAAAATATAATTTTAATGTATATATATATATTGCAACCACAGAGTTATATAAATAAATTTAAATTGTAAAATAGATTTTTTTTTTTGTTATGTAGTATATTTCCCATTTAAATAATATAAAATCAAATTATTTTAATTGATACATAAAACATATATATAAAAACAAAAAATTAATGTTACATATAATTCATAAAATAATTGTTATATAAAGTTAGACAAAAAAAATTACTAAATAATACAAAATTTTCAAATATTCTAATTTTTTTTTTTCAAAATGAGATCTCATCCCCTCCTCCCACCAAAAAA